ACAACAGTTTCCACGCGTTAGTTCTAAAAATTTATAAAGAAGGCTTTATTAAAGTTTTCGAAATAAATAATAATAACAAAAATTGTTAATCACTCTCTATGATATTTGTATAGAATTGTACAAAACCTCTTTCACTAAGACCAACACATTAATACCAAAATGTGTTCCACGCTTCCAATTATCTAATTTTAAGACGCGCATTACTTATTTCTTCTTTTTCATTATACCATTTTATTGTGCAATTAATTGCGTTCATTTACAAGCTTTTTGTGTTTTATTTCAAGTCTATAATGATTCCACCCATCCACTTGTTCATAACAACCGCGAGAGGGTCACTTCACAGCAGGAAAAAAAATAGCGTACTGTGTTTATCACACCAAATATATCAAATCACAGAGGTTGGCAATGCAACCAGCTTAGTCGTGTGTCAGTGTCAGTAAAGAGCTGTCATTGACAGCAAATCGGGTCATCGCTTCGGAGATAGCCGAATTTGTAGCCACGAATTGTTTTGATAGCAATGAACTGTGAATAGGTTGTAGTTGAAGTGTGTTATATACAAATTGGACATAAGACTTTAACAATAAATCGTATTTAATTGTATGAAATAATGTTATTTCGACATTGAAATGCACCGCAAGAGCGCAAGCTCATGTAATTTAACTACATAGTTATGCTAAAATAGTGTTGGGAATGCTTGCATTCCGTTAATTATAAAATCACTTGAGTTCAAATAATAATTTTTGCTTAAATTGCAATACAATTTTTGGTTCTTTTTTTAACATAAACACACAACTGATAGCACTCGGCAAACATTCGTTTGTGTGTATAGTTTCATTTTATACCCTTGCAGCATGTTGCAACAGAGTATAATAGTTTTTTTCACTTAACGATTGTTTGTATCACCGAAAACTAATCAAGATAGATATAGAGTTATATATATTATATATAAATGACCAGGATGATGAGACGAGTTGAACGCGTCTGTCTGCCCGTTCGGCTAACCGTGCAAGCTGTAACTTGAGTAAAAACTAAGATATCTTAACGAAACGCTATCAATCGGAAACGAATAAATGCATATAGGTATAATTGACATAAATTAAGATACAGAACTCAAGTTTGACACAACGAATCACATTAAAGAGGGGCGCTTGCGGTTTAATGATATATCTTCTAAACGAATAAAGCTATATGCACAGGACGAATGTTTTCAACCCTTATGATAGTGTGAAAATTGGTGAAATCGGATAACAACCCCGCACACTTATCATATAACGGTTTTGTTAAAAACTACTAAAAGTGTGATAAATCAATAACTAATTGCGTCAGAGATATTAAATTTTACACCCAGGACAAGAGGGATTTCTACTAGCCGGTATCAAAATTCGACAATGAGCGTGACACCGCCTATTCCTATGTTACAGTACGAAAATGGAGGAAAGTGGTCTACCACCACGCCTAGTTTTCACATAACACAATTGTAAAATCCATCTGATCCTCTTACATTTCAGTATAACATACATATAAACCACCAATTAATATAAGAGGACAAAACTTTGCACAAATAGTGCATTTTAAGTGTGTCACGTTATTACTAAAAATTGTCCAAATCGAACCATAACTGTTCAAGCCCCTAAGTACCGAATATGTGGACCCAGTGCCTATAGTTGACTTTTTACCGAAAATTTCGGTCAATGTGTGAGATATGTAATAATAAAATATGTATGGATAATGTAAAGATTTTAGAACTTCCGGGTGACCCTATATCGGCCAATATCTTGTGCCTAAAATGGATAAAATCGGTTGAAAATTTTACCTATTTAACTAATATCAAAATTTTCGATCATTCGGTTGACATTACTCTATATGATGGTGATGGTACCTTAATGAAACCCTGGGAGCATTTTATTAGTATGTGGTATTGGCAAAAATAGTTAAATCGCGTCGATACTACTCCCAAATCCCATGTACTACTTATTATAATTTTCGCTTTCAATACAAGTCATGAAAATCGAATATGGTTTTCAAATTCTTTTTTAATATTTTGATTATGAAATATTATCCAACACCTAAATAGATTTCTCTTATATAAAATATTTCCAAGAGTATAAAATAGTCAGTTACACCCGAACTTAGATCTATCTTACTCGTTTCATTGGTCGTTTGTGCACAATTAATATAAACCATAGCAAAGCAAATTACTGCGAAGGTCTTTGACGCTTCAATTAGTTTTTATTTTCTGCATAAACATTTTTAGACATATGTCTTATGTTTAATTTGCAATGATGCTGAACAAAATTTTATGGGAATTTTCAGGAGATAGTCTAAATAAATACTCGTAATTGCTCCTGTAGTTTGAAAGTTTGTCAGCAAATTTTTTAAATTTCTTCATAATTGGTTAGTAAGGGTAAACTATGTAATTTTCGACCATCAATAAATAATTGTTCCGGTTGCACACTCACCTTTTTTCACTTGTTTTCACTTTCAGTCACCAAAAACCAAACGGACACGGTCGATACGGCGGAAAATTTTGACGTCTCTATCGCTTGAATTGCTAACGAAAAAGAAAGAATCTGGTCCTCTGTTAGTCCCTTTTGAGTGTTGGGTTGTGTAGAGTTGTGTTGTGATGTGATGTGTATGTGTGGGTGGTTTGAGTGGTGTGATGTCTTGTTGTGGATCGTGTTGATGTGGTGTGTTGGCGCGCAGTGGCGTGTATAGAGGGGGGTGGCGTAACTCATCTAGCCAATCAATAATAAACTATTCCAAGCTTCAATTTCCAGAACAGTCATAACCTTGCTAAAATCTTTCTTTCATTAATTACCGCATTTAAGGACCATGATCAAATATTCTACCTTTCAATATTTCCATTCTTAGTTTCGGAAATATTCTATAAATTTAATTATTCATCATCATTTTCAGAAAATAACGTTGAAGTAGATGTTTCAAACTCCCATTCACTTCCGCTGGTAAACTGATTTCTGAGGATTTGGTAGCTTCATTGTTTTCGAGGTTACGCCAATAGTTTTTGAAACCCAATGGAAGGTTTTCATTATACCTTTTGTACACTGTGAGTCTACGTTTGATTTTTTTTAAACCTTTCGAATAATTTCGCGAAGTGCCCTGAGAGTGGGAATCACGTAATTTTTGTATGCACGAAAAAGGTGCGCAGAACCACAATAATGTCCGAAAGAGCAGAGGAAAGGAAAAACTGAGGGACTAGTGCGTATATATACAGATAGACGGACATGGCTAAATCAACTCAGCTCATCATGCTGATCATTTATGCATATATTTCATTGGGTCTCCGACGGTCAGTTCTGGGTGTTCAAACTTCGTGACTAACTTAATATATACTGTTCAAAGTTAAAAAAACTTTAAAAATTGTCAAAGTTATAATGTTCCCAAATTCAAATAAAATAACCTATTGTTACGTAGTAAATCGGCTTGGAAACAACTAATGGTACAAGACTCTGCAAGTGAATGTCCGTTTCCTCTGCAAAAATATATCTCATATATAATAATTTAGCAATAATTAGAACACAGCGCTACCTATCGGGGTATATACTCTTAATCTTCACCTAAGGTAGTAAAGGAGAGGTAAAGAAGCGCAAGAAAACGAAAAAAAAACGAAAAACCGTTTGAGAAACGAATCATAACGTAAATACACGTGGAAACATATAATGCTCATCTCTAGAAAAAAATAAAAAATAAAATAGCAGTTTTAAATATTTTCATTAAGCTTATTGGCTTTTGACTTTTGACGTATGATTACGTATTCAATGATTATTATACCGTATGAATATATATATATAAAACTCGAGTCTGGTTTAAGATGTTAAAATTTTAAATATGCAATAGTAACCGCCTTCGCATCCAATTCATCACCGACTAGTCATTACCCTCAATCAGCAGACAATGTCAGAGACTAATATGCTTACTTTACGAAACAAAATATACAAAACCCAAATTGAATGCGGTTGCGCATTCACATCTCAGTAGAGGAGGGCGCGTCTGCGGTCATTCATTGAAATCAACGAAAACCCACTGGACGACTTACACTTGGCATTAATTTCCGTATCAAGGTATGCTGATCGTTCCGCCTCATTTACGAAAGCAACGCAACTCCGCTCATTATAAAGTGCTTGATTGTAAAAAGTTTGCACAGCGCCGAACACCCACTGGGCAATCGTGTTATATGCCTGGGGCGCCCTATGGTGAGGCAACGTTGCAATGTAAGCGTTTGAGCAGAGTTGACCGCGGCGATCTACTCAAAAGCGGGCTTAAGCATGCAAACTTGAAAATAATCACAGACGGTGCAATTAAATTCGATACAACGCAACCAGTATATGGCGGGCGGTTGCATAAGCGAACTTGGAAACAGAGGATTTGTCTCTCAAGGCGATAATTGCATGTGTGATCCGGAGAAGGGACGCTGCTCAAGCAATTCAAGATGGGAAAATTAATCAACTCAGCTGTTTGTCATTTCACTCAGGGCAGGGTTGCCAATGCGCCAGTGCTCGTTGGTTTGGCAATTTGACTTCCGGCGACAGCGAATTGCAGCGGTAGCCTTAATTTGTTTATATTACATTACCGCTGACACTCATACGCAAGTACTTATGTATTTATATGGTGAATCAACACAAATACACTTGTAAACTGCTAGCGCGTTAGTAAAGTCTTCAGCATCGCTTGTTAACTGAGCTTTTATGCGCGTGCACTCTCTGCAACAGCTGCCAAACGTTATCTGCGTTTCTTAATCTTCTTCTTCTTTGTTCGCTGCTTCAGTGCCACTTCTTGGCTCTGCAATTTTTAGCGCTCATTTCAGGTACTTTGGATCGCACTCTTGATCTGCGCGCTTTGAGCGCCATCTCGGACTTCATCTCCCGCTGCAATGGCCCACCTAAGTAACGTGCTTAGCTTTTTGGCCAACATCTGTACTATGCGCGTATTGTTATTGTTGTTTTAGTGTGTCTTGGTTGTCGAAAATGTTGTTGTGGCGCTACTTTTTGACTGTGATATAAAAGATTGGCGTTCAACTGATTAGCATTTAGTTGATTTGTGCTTGTCAATTGGACCAGTTCGGTTGTGTTGAAAATTGTGACGCCTACGTCTTTACTTAAAATTTATTTGTGCTGTGGAAAAAATGCGCGCTCTTATTGTAAGTTGATAAAAACATATTTAAAATGTGATAAAAGAAGAGTTGGAGCTGGTGTCTAAATAAATTATGTATTAAATTATTGAAGTATATTATATGTATACACTATATAATGCAAATTTGTGGTGTTTCTAAATAGTCGGATTACAAAATGGATACGTCATAAGAGTTAATAAAAATAAAAGTGATATTATCAATTTTGCCAAAAAAAAAATGTAAAGAAAGGTCTACCCTCTCGCAAAAGTTAAAAAAAAAAATATTTAAATCCGAAAAATAATTCAAACAACTTATTTTCATAGAAAAAACATGAATTTAACTTTTTTATAGGAAAAAAATTTTTTTTTTGTTCAATTGGATTTTTTTCCATGAAATTTAAAAAAAAAAATTTTTTCTTATTTTTTTATTATTTTATTTATTCTTATTGGTAGGAATTTTTGAGTTTAACTAAATTCCTCTTCTTGAGTTTTCTAATAAATGTGTGTTTTAAAGTTTTACTTAGAGTTTAATTTAGTTTTTTTTCAAAATCTGGTAATAAAAAACAATTCTGCAAAATTGTTATATTCGTCTATTTTCTGGAAAGGTATTAAAAAATTATCCTAAAAAGGTTTCTAAATAATATTTGCAATTATAGTTTTTCTAATTATTATTAAAAATGTAAAATATTCCATAACATCCCAATTTATGGATTTTGGATGGAGGATTTTTTTTTTGTAAGCAGTTCACAACAATATTTTTTCTTAAAATGAATACCTCTTTTCAACATCTCACTATGGTTTACGATTCCTCCAATAGTTTACTGACCCGTTAAGGGACTCCTGGAATTATTGCTCAAAACTAGATTTTGCAAGGAAACTTAAATTAGTACAATGAACTTTTGAACACCCGTATCGCCAGATGAGAATATATTAATTTCGTCACAACAGTTCGGTTAGTTCAAAATCTGTGGAAAACTGTAAAATAGTGCCAAATAGTAGGTAACTGACTATTTTTCTGATATGAAAAACTGTCTCAAAACTTCTCTGGGATCTACAATCTGGAAAAACATCAAGATGTCATTAACACCTCTCTCCTCTTCACTTCCCACCATTTCAGACACTCTGCTTGCTCGTTTCGGCGTACGCGAAGCCACAGGGCTACAGCTACCAGAACCAACAAAGCAGCTACCAGAATCAGCAGAACAGCTTTCAAATCAAATTGCCTGGCATAAGCAGCACTTCAAGCGCACAACAACAACAACAGCACAGCTCTAGCGCACCGCAAACACCCGGTTTCCTACAACAAGCGCTAGAAAATGCCAAACTAACGCAATCGCTTATCAGCGCACCAGTACCAGCGCCAGCGCCCAGCGTTGCCACACAAAATAACTACTATCAGAACGCACCACTACAACAAGTGCCACAATTTCAGTCTAACTTTCAACCCAGTCATGGACCGCTGCAACAGCCCGCCACATTTGCTACATACCCACAACAACAATATCAACAAGGCGGTGGCAGCTTTGGACCAGCGCCATCATCGCTAGTCACCAAGGACATCTATGTGCATGTTGCTCCCGAAGAGCACGAGGAACACTACCAACGACCAGTGTTGCCACCACCACCACCACGCAAGCACTACCGCATCGTTTTCATTAAGGCGCCATCGCCAAAACCGAGCGCCGCAGCATTGCGTATCAATCAAGCGCCCACCGAGGAGAAGACCATTATTTATGTGCTCACACGCAAACCGGACCCACTCGACTTGGAGGCGGCCTACCAAGAGGCAGCGCCCAAACAGCCCAGCAAACCGGAAGTCTACTTCATCAAGTATCGCACACAAGAGGAAGCACAACATGCACAACGCACCATCCAAGGTAGGTCACAATCACCACAATTTTTTTCTGTTTAGATTGGCAACCGATTATATTTCCGATGCAGAATATTTGAGTTCGAAAAGTTGCTTTTTTGTCTTTTATTTCCTGTTCTGCGACATTTGTTATGCAAATTTAATACGCCGCCTTATGACGGAGAACGTCATCAAAAATTTGCCAAATCAACGCCGATATGATGAATCATTTTCACACCTAGCAACACCAACAACATATATATTTAGCTATAATGTCTTTGTTGTTCAGTTTTTCTTAACTTTGCTTTGTTTTTGTTGCACAATCTCGATTTATAATGGCGTTGCCAATGCTCACTAAATCATCTAAGGCATTTTATGTAAATTTGTTATTATTTCCTAAATTTGTATGCAAATCTGCCGAGCGGCATCTCTGATCTACATCAATAATATGTATGCAATCATAAGAGGTTTTGTTGTTATTGGCATAGGTCGAAGCACTTCTTTATACCGCTGACTCAAACAATCGAGCGTTGTATGTTCAAGGCCATTGCAGCTACTTTGAGTTATCTTTTTAATATGGATCGAATATATTCTTTTACCAAATAATAAGTGAGGTCAGGATCAAAGCATTTTGATTTTATTTAGATAATTTCCAAATTTTTTTTTAGTAAAAAAAGCTTATGTTAATAAGAATTTGTCATTCTTTTTAACTTGGAAGTTCAGTAATGAATTAATTTTATTTGCTCGAGAAAATTCTTTTTTGGATGTGGAGGACTTACAGATAGCTTTTTAATCCATTCAATTGTCAATTTTTTCGATATTTGTGATTTCGCGCTATTTATAAATTGTCTAATATAAGGGATCTATTTAAAACCGCTTTCAAATTCAATCGAACTAAAATTCAGTTTCCCAGTCTCCAATATTCATATGACGTCTCATTTGCTGTTTTTTATGACATTTAGCTGACATCTAGCTACATACCGAAAAACCCTCGAAGAATCGGTCAATATTTCAGCGTAATTTTTTACTTAAACTCAATCATTATACTATATATATATAAACGAACGCTTTAACAACTTATTTATAGCATAGTTAGATAGTTAGTTTAGAAGTAGTGAACACTTCTCAGAAGACACATCGACGATATGTTTTAAAATTCAAGGTTAAACATCACATAAATTAGACAAAATTTAGAAAGACAATATGGGACGTCTGAGAGCTTACCTCCTCTCTGATCTTTACAACTAGGTTTCAATTTTTTAATTAATAATTATCTCAATAATTCAATTCATTATGCATAGATAATAAAATTATTAAATGATTGTCATCGAAACAATTTTATACTATACTGTCCTTAAAATTATTCCCAAAAGCGTAACCAAACTTCGTCTTCATTAAATTACATATTTTTCAACATATAAAATACTATACACTTTAACTGAATTTCCACATTCCAGAGCAATACGATCAATTAGGTGGCACCACACAGGTCTCCGACGAGGGCATCGCACCGGTAACCTCAGTGATAGGCTCGCTGGATCCACGTGGCGCAGGCGCAGGCGGTAGCATCAGCAGTTCCAGCGCATCGAGTAGCAGCAGCAGCAGCGCTAGCAGCAGTGCCAGCAGTAGCAGCAGTGAAGGAGGCAGTTTAGGCAAATATTTGCCCCCAATTACAGGACTTTAAATTTAGTTAATTAAATTTTTTTAGCGATATTAAATTAATCGACTGAAAGCGATTTTATGGCACAACAAAAGAAAACAATGACTCACAAAAACAAAATACACGCACACAAACACAAAAAACCCACAAGAAAATAACACACACACACAAATATACAACATTACAAACACACTCGTTTATATTCGCTCGATTATATCCGCTTGCATTGCCGCATGCAGGCGAATCAAATCAGAGTTGATTTTCGTTATTTTTGCCTATTTTGATGATAAAGTCTGTTAATTAATTTTGTTGTTATTGTTAAACTTCTTGTATCTGTGTCATTATGCTTATAAATGCTCTGAACACAATGCAACCATTGTTGTTGTTGTCTAATTTGTTAATTGATATTTTTGGCAAAATATTCTTTTGTTGATTTATTTATTTAGTTTTCGTTTTCTTATTAAATTTTTGTTATTTACTGTTAATTTAATTTGTATCATTATGCCTTTATATACGAGTATACTCATATATAATAAATGATCGTGTCTCTGCTGCTGCAGCCGGCCATCCGCCGCTAGTCGATCGGCAAGGCTCGAAGCGATGAATGCCAACTAAATTATAAAGAAACGTATCTATACAAATTTAGTTGTAAGTTGTTATGTAATAAATATGCATTTTGCCATTTTTTCTACTATTTTCGGTAGATATGTGTGTAAAATAGAAAAGCCGTCGTCACGCAGCGCCTTATTGTGCATAAATAATATATAATTATATTTTTATATTTTGTAAAAAAAAGTCCAAACCGGTTTAATTGTTTGCCTTCAAATTTGATATGTCATAATTTATTTTCTAACGCCGAATTTCGACACGGAGAAATTAGCATGGTGTTGAGTAAGCGCGAACGAAGGAGAGGCGTTAGCGAAAATGTCGAAATGTCAATGTTTTGAAACCTTTATCATTATAAAACAAAAAAACAACAATACAATACAACAATATGACAATAAAAAAGTAGCAACAGATTGAAATGAGTTTAGTTTAAAAGAGAAACAAGAAGAGAAGAAGAAATTGTCCAAATACGAGAGCACGAACTGACCTGTCTTAAGACGATGCCGCAGTTAACAATGGGTGCGTGCATATATATATGAGCAGAGGAAGCTCGTGATTTGCAGCAGCATTACAAATTTTATTGAATTGTAATAAGTGTTAACTTTTAACTGACTTTTCGTTTAATTAATTTTTAGAAAATTAAAAAAGGTCTCATAAAAGTAACAGTAAAAAGAGTAGCATTAAACTGAGCTTTTACTTTTTCAATAAAGTGTCAATAAAAGCAATATACATATTAAGCTGCGTAAAGCACTATCAAAATAAACTATCTTTAAATTATCCACAAGGATGTTATTGTAGATTTACGTGTGGATCAGTTCAACAAATTCATGATGGATGTAAGAAATTGCATATTCCGTAAACTATAAACTCTTATGAAGTTCGATGCAAGACTTTGCATTAATATAATCAAATTTCAATCGTTAATATATCTTAAACGATTAGATTTACAAAAGATTGTAAAATATATTTTTGTACAACATTAAATTTCCTACAAAATCAATGAAACGAGTTATTTTTTCAAATAGTTGAAAGCGCGATATGCATGTTTCTATCTGATAATAAGCAAAAATAGAAAACTGTAAGGCGGAGGACCTTTCCGCAACAATTAAGAGCTCATACTTGAAGAGGTTTTCGTAGACGTGCTTAAAAACTTATTTTTCAGAGTACCAAGAGAAAACAAATATTCGTTTTTTCTTTGACCCACTCAACTACACATGAACCCCATCAAATTATTTGCTTTTGAAATAGATAAATTCGGTGTCAACAAAGAGAATCAAATAAAGTATTTCAAAAATAATGTCCCAGTTATGTGACAAGGCTAACCAAAAATCATCGGAATAACCTTGTGCCACTTTCCCTGAATCCTGAATACTACGATCTCAAGCATTAAGTGAAGTATCATAATGGAAATAATGAAAGATGTTTACTCGAATGAAGTATAGTTGGTTCCAAAAATGAAAGGAATCCGCATATATGTTTTCCTAACGTATATTCAACTAATGATTTTGAACAGTTTGCTTCGGCGGCTTACGAAATCAGATGGATACATTTATATACCACTTTCTTGTCAAATAGTTGATTACCCATGAGTTTGTTTGTTATTGTTGTTATAGTGGTAGAATAATATCCCCAAATAGTTCGGAGAATTGTTCAAAGATTTGAGCCGAATTCAGAATACCGAATTTTCAAAAACATTACCAGAATGTGCTTGAAAGATTGACCTTCGAAAAGGACCAAATGTAAAGCAACTTGAAATTGATCACAAAGAGTTTAGAGAGTGAAATCTGTCGAAGAAGCTGTGGTCTAAGGAAAAAATTCAGGTTTCTTAACAAAATGTGCTGCACCAACTCTGGATATGTGTCGAGAGCCTGTGATCTTTTCTAATACAATCAAGACCATTTCAAAGCACCATTTTCTTCACTTTCTCAATATTTAAAAAACAAATTAGTCACTAATATAGGGTAAGTTTGTGTGACCATAACAATACTGCCGACACAATATCTTTGACATTTTTAGTGATTACAAAGTAGAATTGCTGGAGGTAAATATATTGTATAATTTCAAACAAATACCAAACCAAACAAATGAAATTTAATTCACATAAGCTTCCAGGCCTCAACTTAACCACATTTAAATTTTTTCAGAAATCGGATCAGGTGAAAAAAATCTTTAAAACTTATAGTCCGGTCAAGTTAGGCCTAATATAAGGAGGAAGGTTACATAAATTCATAAGAAGCTGAAACTCGGTTGAATTGCTCAAAACATAATTATAAAAAAAATCTCAGTACCGTTAAAAATTTAATGAGTGATAAACAAAATGAATACCAAGAGAGTATTGTCGTATAACTTTATATTCTTTTCAATATCTTTTACATGCTTTTTTGTAGACTTAAACTCAAATCTTGCTGTTCTCGATTACATTTATATTATATAAGAAAATATTTAAAAGTTGCTTTGGCAACTGAAAGACTACTTAACACTTCATTCGCATCTTATTAAAAAACAAAGCTCTTAAATATTTCTCGTATGAAACTCAAATGAAAATCAAGTTATTAGTTAAACAACGTTCGAAAATGTTGAAGAAAACCTATTACGGTAATGCACATTGCATCCCCCGCAACTAATGTATTTGTGCATCGTTATCTTCAAACGACATAATTTTGTCTGATTTTCGGTCACTTTAGTCAATTTTGGTGCTTTGTTTTAAAACTACTATTTTTTCAACACATACAAAATGCTACAAACATGCAAACAACAATAAAAAGTCTCAACTTACCGCTTGAACTTTTGCTTAGACAGCGAACACGTCCACACATGCATACTAGTACCTGAAGTCATTTCTTGTGGAATGTTCGGCTGTCGTGTCGTATTGACTCTACGCTTTTCGGCAGTAAAATTTGCATTGTGGTCGCGACAAGTTACCGCTAAGTCCATACAATGGGTCAATGTCACACTTGAATAGCTTAAGTGTGCTATAAGGAAGTTGACGTCAATATATGCATAGGCATGTGTGAATGCTGTGGCTGGCGAGCGCCTTAAACCGACTGTCAGTAGCGGACAGTGATGACTGTGAATAATCCGAGCGTTACTGAGCAATATAAATATGACACCGAAAATTCATACATAACACCTCTTGAACATTTCCATAAAGTTAAAAATTTGCTGCGCACAAGAAAAGCGTAGCCGATGGATGAGCTGTGACAAAAAAATACTAAGGAGGTTTTTGGTTAGTTTGACTATGTAGATATGTTTGTACGAGTATGCTGCATGTATTTGCATGCCAACCGACGAAACTGGTCAGATTGAAGGTGTATATTTAGGACGTTGATTTGAAAGTACGAGTATTGAAATATACATATGGATGTGGCGTATACAACTTTTCATTAACTTAATTAATGGGTGGAGTGCGCGGCAGGCGTTTTCTGACAACTCTGATTGGCTAACCAAGCAACTCCTTAATTGGGTAATACCTATGATAGAATTAGTTTCACAGTTTTCCTCAATGTTGATTGACAGATTGTCTTCTGCGAATGATTGTAGACTTTTTTAAAATTAATATATCGTACAATAAAAGACTAAAGAAATCAGTGAGATCTCCATAGTATAACTCTTCGTTTTTAAAAACTTTTCGTAAGTGCTTTAACTTGCAAGCTCTTCACGTTTATAGAAAACTATCGCGACCAAAAACGAGTGCTACCGAACATAAAATAATCTCATTAATAAAAATCGCTGGTCAAATTTAATCCGGATTGGTCCATTTAAAAAAATGGTGCTATACCATACTTTTTATCTTCGTGCGTAGTTTGTTTTTCATATGTCAATTAGTGTGTATTCAGTAGGGTGGAGCGAAAAAAAAATTTGTAGACTACAAAAAAAAAAAACATTTTTTCCAAAATTTTTTTCAAACAATTTTTTTTTAACATCACTTTTAAAGTAAATTTCGAATTAAAATTTTTTTTCGTAAACAATTTTGATAAGAGTTCTAGAAGCTGTGGAGAGTCCTCTTTCTGGTCAATTTAAAGTTGTCATTTTAAAAAGAAATGTTGTGGTCATTATTATAGTTTTAAAAAAAGTCTTAAACGAATACATTCTTTCCTTAAGCGTTAAAATAAATTCTGAGTCAAAAATTCGGTAATTTTTATATAAATGTGGAGAGTTTAAACCAAAAAAAAAATTATTTTGTTCAAAAAAAAATTTAACTCGTAGGTTTATGAATATAACGTCGAAACACTTTGAAGATTTAGCGATCCAAAAATTAGCCGAAACCGAAATAATCAAGATTCTCTGAAGGCACTGAAAGCCATTCCTGACCAGACTTATAGTCAGTCCGGGTCAAATGAGATCAGTTGGTAAGAAAAAATATGACAAATATTGAATCCGTGAAATCACCAAGTTTGATTATTGAAAGGCTATCAGTCGCGAATCCTGGTCTATTCCAGCACAGTCTAATAATTTTTACACTAGTCACCTGAGATCTAAACCTGCATATTTTATGGATATAAAATATGGTAAAAATCCATAAAGTAAATGCTTTGACACAGTTTCCTACAATTATGTTTACCTAGCGGTGGTTTTTGCCAAATTTCCTTATTTATCTAATACACGTTTACGATATCTGTGTCACACACAATCATCTCCCAAATCGCTCGCCTACTCAACTCGCCCTACCTATATCAGAAATATACTTCATATAAATATAAATATTTACTGAAATTGTGGGTTTTAAAAATTCCAAATTTTATAGTACCTTTGTAACATTTGAGCTACACGTTTTTAGTGTAATACCTATTGCGAAAGTGCGCTAAAGGGAGTAGCCAACAACAATCCAATAAACATGCGGACAAATACACGTAATCGTAAAGAAAACACCAGTGCCGACGCTGGCGAATGAGGTGCTTGGATACAACGTAAGCGGCTTAGCTTAACGGGTAAAATATGCAATAATCGTTAAAAGCATGGAATTACTGCCTATCAAAGACAACAAACTTTAGTAGTGGAAAAAACAACAAATACATAAAAAATAAACTTTAAGGAACTAACAGCGTCATAAAAAATGCATCAATAGCCCATGAATAAAAGTAGCTAAAATAATAACAACATAACAATACGCCAACGCTTCTTGCGCCAATCGGCTATTTCGACTAATTATTATATTATTTATAGATTTTGTGTTTCAATTTGGAATATTGTTTACACAATAAGCACTAATGTGGTTTCAAATATCTTTTTATACTATTTTAATAGTATTAATTACCATTAATCAAACCATTCTGCTTTTATGTTGTTGATTTTGCTGTGATTGTTGAAAGATTCTCAGCAATACAAAAGCCGTGCTTAATAATTTATTTTGATGTTTGTGCCTATTTTCTTTGTCTAAGTTGCATAAATCGAATAGCTGTATAAAAAAGCACTTATTGCTATCGGAACAATACTCTTGTACACAAATTCACATGTGAAAGCAACAACAGAGTTTTCTTGCTAAATTCGATACATAAAAAAATGTAAAGCTTTATTAAAGTGAATTTGACTTAAGCTTCTTAGTGATTTCTTCGAGTTGCAAGTCTATAAGTTTTGGCGAATCGAAGTCAACCTTCATTTCGTATACAGGTTGGTTGAAAATTTTCTGCACTTAAGATGAAAAAATACAAATTTTTGTACGAAATATATTTTTTATTCAATATTATCTCTTTTAACTTCTATACACTTATTCCAATGATCCTCCAATAATTTTATGCCATCCTATAACGATTTCCCGGGAGCTCTGCAAAATACCGTCTCCGGCTGTAATAGCGTGTTCATACGACGAAAAACGCTTTCCACGAAGGAATTGTTTCAGGTGAATACACCTTTGTGAGCAGGTGCATTGTTTTGATGAAAACTGATTTTTCGGTGCTGCAAACCAAGTATTTTCTCACAAATTTTTTCATTCAGCTGATCCAAAAGGCTGCAATAATATTCAGCGTTGATTCTTTTACCTTTCTTTGAAGCTGAACAACCAATTTCAATCCACTGTAAGCGTTCTTGTTTCAATTAAGGATCATGGTGGTAGATCCAAGCCTCATCTGGCAATAGCAATTTCACGCTTAGTCAAATTTGGATATTCACTAACAATATTATGAGCTTGTTCATTGATTTCTGGTGTGGTAAAGGTTTTTGATCGTCCTTCGCGTGGATCATCTTCAAGCCTAGTAAGAAGTGGTCGACAATTGTTCATAAATTTCCTTTGCTTTTAAACCTTTCAAAACAAAGAATCTAATCACTGCGCGATTTTAAATTTTTTCCATATTAAAAAAATACTTTAACATGACAACTTCAAATGGCTTGTAAATAAAGAATTAATTGACAGAATGACTTGCAGCTTTGCATGTGTTCTCACCACAAATGTACCAACTTTAGATAAAAAGTTAGAGCTAGTGGGGCTATTTCTTGATGAAACCACCCAACTTTTCAACCAACCTGTATAATTCACCAATGTTTAAAGTGCCTAAACACGGATTGTTTACGTTAGAACATACAACTTGCTTTATTGTACAATAGTATTACATAACCAATAATATTCTTTAATAGTATTTCTATTTCGCAGCCATTAAAACTTTCGTCTTTTATCTCTTCGATGGTAAAACTAGAAAGTTTTCTTACTAAGTTTGTAGGGAAAACGACGACAACCGTGATCTAACACCTTAGCAAAAGCTACGGCTCCCTATACACCGCTTTAAGCGCAAGCAAAACTAAAGAATTTCTGAAACCCAAAATCTATGTAATGTACCAATCCTTAAGATATTAAATATTTTTATGATTTCACTTTCTGTGTTATGGTATGGTGGTATTACACAACTTAAGTACTCTAATTAAATATATAAAATGAGCTCAATACTACGGGTATTTAGTATCGGAAATTTGAAGTTACGTATTTTAGTAAATAGTATTTTTTTAATATTCCACATTAATTGATAATTCTTTATCATTTTACACTGGTGGCGACAAATTAAATTTCAAGACATGAAGCCTTAAACTATGCCTCGAAATTATGGAAATGTTTATTTTCAAGCTCGTGTACTTCCGTTGTTAAGTTTTAAGCTTTGGCAACGAAATAGCTTAATTTGTATGGCTGTAAGATACTACACATGTCCCTTTTATTGTTATTTAATGTTCGTCCCTCGAGCTTACCATATTACTCCCATTGCAGTCGTCAAAAAGATAACAAAATATTGATCATGATAGAATTTAGAAATACTTTAGTGTTAAAAATCTCACCGCTATATGAGAGTGGCTTCGGCGTATGAATTTAAGGGTACTCAACTTGGTAAAATCATGCGCGTACGGATTACTACTTTGAATTATCAAATATATTACATTCTCCGCTGTCAAGTATAAAATAATAGTTCAATACAAATAAAAAAAATCACTGAAACAAATACCAACTTGAAAGTTTTTATGTTTTATTAAAGAGCTCAAATATGATAGAATAATAGGTAGAATAATTAATGATGACAAGTAAGAAAAAAATAAATGTTTGTTATTACTGTAGTTTCATTTCTTTATTTGACTATCTAGGCTTATTACGGAGCGTGAATCAATTATTTTATCAAGACCCAAGTCGATAGAAGAAACCGAGAGAATATTGTAACTAAATTAAAAAAAAGAAAACACAAAAAAATATTGGATTATTTGACGCAGTCTGTCATAAATATGGCATTAATGCAATGAAATTTCCCACCGAATGGAAAACGCCAACATGTGCATATAAATTACTCCAACTTTTCAATTCTTTCTGTACAACTTTGAATATAAAGCACCTGAAATACCATCCTTAAAATTTAATCAAAACTGGATAGCTACAATAGTTAATTACACACTTATGCAAAACAATTGTGTGTATATTCAAAAAGACCGATCGAGAAAACATTGACCCAAATGGCTTCTTCGTTGGCTGTGGAAAATCTTACAAAATTACAAAGGTAACGGGTGCTTGTGTGCAAGACCACTTTTACTGAACCTAACTTTATATTTTAAGAAGAGTTTCAGGTTAAACATTTCCTCATTCCTCTCAAGGTACTACGCAACTCTCTTGAGAGAAAAAGCCAGAGTAGTGATATAAAAAGAGATAAGGTTCTCCTGAGCTGTGGTGGATTAAAAAAAGTTTCAATTTAAAAATGCAAACGACTGAACTATAAATTCAAAAAATATTTTGGTTTATTTCATTAAATAAATTAATACAAACTATTTATGTGTAAATGAATGTATGAATGATACGATTTGAAGAGCTCGTATGATTCAGGAGATTCAGAAGAAAATGGAAGCCATAATAGATTGTGTAGATTGAAAAATACATGAATAAGCCAGCGAAGATGTGAGTGCCTTAAATACTATTAACTAAATTATTTTGTAAAATTCTCTGAGTTCCAATGAACCCGTTTACTTCTTCTTGATGGGCAAGTATTTGTTGGTGGGCAAATTATAGTTGCCAGCCGACTGGAAGTTTTGCTGCACGAAAGACGAATGTTGCTGGCCAATGTTGCCACCCAAGTTCAGTGGGCCACCTGAGACGGAAGTAAGGGGAGCAATACCTTCATCGGAAATGTGTGTAGAACCGCCAAGAGCATCGTATTGAGCTTGGATTTCCTGTTGGGCGCGTTGAGCCTCCTCCTGAGTCTTGTACTTGATGAAGTACACTTCGGGTTTGTGTGTTTTCTGTTCACCTTGAGCCTGTTGCAATTGCTGTTGCACCTCAGTCAAGTCGGGTTTCTTCGACAACACATAGATAACGGTCTTCTCTTCGTTAGCATTCTGGGCATGCTTCAAAGCAGCGCCGGCCAATTTGATATTGTGTGTGGGTGCCTTGATGAAGACGATGCGATAGTTTTTGCGTACTGGTGCATTATCCAATTGTTGACCCAGCAAAGTCTCTTCCTGATCATCGGGTGCTGAGTGTATGTAAATATCCTTGGTGATGATGGCAGTCTGTGGACGTGGTTGCTGGAATGATTGGAAGTTCTGTTGGAAACCACCTTGACCGCCGAAGGGGAGGCCGAAAGCACCGCCGCCTAACTGTTGTTGTGGTTGTGCAGCACCGAATTGTGCCTGCTGTTGTACTACTTGTTGTTGCAAAAATTGTTGCTGGTGGTTCTGTGAGATTGATGACACACCAGCGCTTTGTGGCGGTGGAAAATAGGCTTTTTCTGGTGCCGCTTGTGGTAATGGCAATTGAATCTCTTGTGGTGATGGTGGTTGCAATGGAATCGATGGCGATGGATTGAATGTTTGCAATGGTGGTGATTGGATCGGCGAGTACAGTACATTTGGTTTTTGTGGTGATGGTGACGAAATGGGACCGGAAAGAGGTGCATCTGGACCTGCTTGCGGTACTGAATGATGATGATGGTGAAGATGCTGATGACTTACAGCTGGTACACCGGGTGTAGATGGTCCAACTTGTGGTTGTTGATACTTGTAGCCTGGTTGTGCGCTAACCACGGCGAGTACGGTGAAATACTATGTGGTGAAAAATTGTGTATTTATTAAAATTTGACGTTATAGGTGATAATAAGTTTATAAGCTGATCCTTTTTTATCTTTAAACCTACCAATGGTAAACTAATTGCCTTCATATTTGAGTATTTTTAGTTAATTTTTTGCGCTGTGATCCTACTCGCTTTCTCTGACAAGTTCAAATGCTTGACTGATACCTAACCCTGAACCAGTTAATGCTTTTATAGCTGGGGAACCAAATGGTAATCGAAATCTTTCTCAGCAAACTGAATCAATTCGCATTCGAATTAATTCACCAATCTGAAGCTGCTTCACATCCGTTATTACCGTTATGCGCATACGCAGCACGGCCGTGTGACCTTTACATGTATCACCGAAAATCGTCACATAACCGTGATTATCACATCGTGGAATCGACCACTCAACCGGTCCCCTATTCCATTTTAAAATGCATCCCACTTAGCATAAGGTCGTTCGCTGGCATCACTTTAATCGATTATCTAACCAGCCCAAGCCAGCGTTAGCTCGCCACTCGCAGACGCGCCTTCGCACCCTGCAACTGTAAAATTGTAAACCTTCTTTTCAGTTTGGGGCAAGTTTTTTTTTCTCTATTTTCGTCGCCGAATTATGAAATTGTTAAAGTTGTGTCACTTATGGTTAATTTAATGCAAAATTGATATTATTATTGTTATTTTATAGTCTTCGTAAAATCTTTTTAATATAAACACAAAGCTGAAGAGACAAAAGATCCAAAAGCGCAACGCAACAAGCGCCTCAACAGTTGGTATTTGAATAATTCTAATTTGCATATTGCCATTCATTTATTTTCACTTTTCCTGTTTGACCGTCTGCTTTGGCGTGAAATCAGCGCTGTTCCCGCTACAAATGCTTAAAAAGGTTTAGTTGGCCATTAGCCATGTTAACAGCTATTAAACATGACCCTCATAAATATCACAACAACAAAATAAAAAGTGAAGCTACCAAAACATAACTGCGCAACATCACTTGCTACGCTCTTTCGCTCTCTCTTTCTCTTTTCGATTCACTCAACAACAAGCTGCACAACATTTGAAGTTCAGCAACATGTTGCTAGTTACATACTGCAACATCGTGCTCTATGCCATGGTTGAGGATTATTAAAATCTGTGTAGAACTAAAAATTATGTGCAACGGTTTCGTTATGTTTAAATAAAAATTGTAGTGTTTATTATTAAGAAATATTGGGTTAAAGAAAGTCATTAAATGTTATATTAATGCGGTTTTCAGTATTTGTACTGAATAAATGATAGAGATATTTTATATAATTTCAAACCAAATATCTCTGTCATTTTGTTACTTTTGTTGAACTACTATATTTCGGTAAACAAATATTTAAGTGGCAATTTGCCAGAACTTTGATTTTAAAGTTGTGATTGTCTTAACTTTTATGTTAAGATAACTTGCTCTAACATATCGACGTTGAAGATAAATCGAATACATTTTCAAATATCTGAATTCCATTCTCTAGTATTTCGAATATTCCAATCTATGAAGGAATTTGACACATGCTTCTGAACTAATATTACCTGTATATTGTTTACCAATTGAACTTCATGAACGAAAATTGTCGCCTTTGGCCCTTAGAAACACCATAGTGAATTATGCGCGATAATACCACTTTTCTGCTCGCCAGGCCTCTTTTTGCAAATAATTTGCGAGCAAAAGTAACAAAGTTATGCATTTGAATTCAATACAAGAGAGTATGGATTGCCACATTAAAATTATATACCGCCTTCGATTTTGCTTCGCCTGTGGTTTGTTCGTTTCGCTAATTACTTTTAATTTAATTTTTTAGCTTCATTGTTTTAATTACTTCTGCATCTGACACAAAGGATATTTATTGGTTTGGTATAAGTCATTTATAACTTATGCGGTATCCATGCTAAAGAGTTGAAATAAAACCTGTATTTATTCAAGAAATATAAAATTAGTCATAAAGTGAGAATCAACTGTTAGCTTGTACCACTCAAATAAGATACGAAAATATATCCAATATTTTATCAGAAAATTAGTATGGATTTATTTGGTTGAAAGCCTAAGCCGCTAAGCAAAGAAGAGTAAAAGACCAACCGCTTAATATAGCGATTTGAATTCAGACATTAAGCTCGACCGAAATGTGTTTGGTCTCTCTTTAGTAGTTTATTAAGGATAATATTAAGTTTCTACATTTTTTTAGAACTCACTCATTTATAAAGAATATTATTAATATAGTTAGTTTTATTTGAATATTTTTCTTACAAAAAATAATTTCATTTTTTTTAATATTTTAAGCAGGTATTTTTTTAACTAATAAAATTTTTTTGCCATATTTAATGTGCAGCATATCACTATGCAGCTTGCATTTTTAAGCTGTCAATTCAGTGACACACCGTACAAGACAATTTGATTTAATATCACATTTAAATTTATATTGTCATTGAAATTGAACCGGATTTTAACGATATAACGCATAATAAAGATGAACTATTAAACAAGATTTTTAGGTTAAGTACCAAGCATAATGCATCATTTTATGAATTTAAATATAGAAATTAACATAAAAATATTTATCGCAATCGTTCATAGTTACAATATTGATTTATGGATTTTTAAATTATTTTTACGAAATTTTTTTCATATCAACAAACACTTCAATAAGCCTAGTAATACAAAATTTCAACCTAAAAATTTTTGAAGGCAGCATTTCAATATATAGTAGTATTCCGAAATAACGAGTATTCGTTTAAACGAAAACCGCTTATAACGCACAAGCAAAGACAACATGAAGAAGACATATATAAAAAGGATTGAAAAATAAATAAAATAGTGGTGAAAACAGAATACCAAACAGGACATGAAAAACATTCAAATAAAACAATTATTATAATAATGTTTCTTTATGTTTTGTATTTCTTTTCCTTTTCAACTAGGTACAAAAGCAGGCTAATTTTGTTGAAGAGATGATCTACCTACAAGTACAATTTATAAAACTTTTTGACAGAACTTCAGGAAGAAGTCATCAAATGTAATCGTATTCCAACGAAGCAAACGACGATTCAAAATTTTTTTACATAGCTATAGAAACTTATATTACTGATATACATACAAATATTTTGTTCTCATTAATTTGCTTTTTTAGAACATTAAACACTTCTTTTGAGGTAACATGCATAATTGCTTTGAATTGTAACCTGACAAATAATGTGTTCGTTATTTCGGAACACTAATGTACGAACACTACTAATTACATTGAAAACAAGTTATCAATAAACAAACTAAATTGATTAAATATTATAATTACTGTGTTGAAACGCAAGCACCAAATGACTGATGAACAAATCCAATTAAACAATTAAGCCACCACTTGTACTTACAAAGCATACCAATAGCTTACAAATGCTCACTGGTATTTCTCAATTTAATTTAAAACAACAACAGTGCAGCTCATTTGAATACTAACAAGGCAACTGGACATTTGTCAAAAACTTATGATTAGCTAAATTATTTTATTTCCCTTCATTGTACAACAACACCGTCATAAAAATATTTTGGTAACTTAATCACCAGATGGGTTATTCAAAAAGATTTCCAATAACTACAGAGTGAGCAATTTTTTTTTGAAAAGATATTAGGTAAAGTAAACAGTTCGTTCGATTTTTTATTGATTTTTCAAAAGATAATAACTTTGTGTATATTTGTCCGATTTAAGTCAAATATGCCCCGTTTTTTTCGTAAACTTGTTGCCAATGAGATGCCAACTTCATTATACCCCTCTCGTAGAAGACTGCGTTCCTATTGCCAAAAAACTCGGAGAGCCAATTTTCATAGGCCTCTCTTGAGGCCAACTTCTCACCATGGACAGGAAAAGATGGTAATCACTTGGTGCCAGGTCCGGACTATAAGGTGGGTGCATTAGAACCTCCCATCCGAGCTCCAGGAGCATCTGGCGAGCCACCAAAGACGTGTGTGGCCTGGCGTTGTCCTGATGGAACACAATTCGGCCTCTGTTGATCAAAGATGGCCTCTTCTGGATGAGTGCTGCCTTCAAGCGGTCCAGTTGTTGGCAGTAGAGGGCCGAATTGGGCGTTTGGCCATAGGGGAGGAGCTCGCAGTAGATGATTCCTTGCCCATCCCACCAAACACACAGCAAAACCTTCCTGGCAGTCAATCAGATCTTGGCCACCATCTGGGCCGCTTCCCCGAGCTTTGACCACGACCGTTTGCGCTCGATGTTGTCATAAGTGACCCAATTTTCATCGCCAGTCACAATCCGCTTCAGAAACGGGTCGATTTTGTTGCGATTCTGCAGCGATTTGCAAATTGAAATTCGGTCCATCATTGCGTTAGTTCGTCTGACACCCAAACATCGAGCTCCTTTTTGAATCCAAAGTTATGCAAATGGTTCCAAACGGTTTTCTGGCTTATCTTTAGTTCCTCATAAATAAGTGCTCACGTGACGGTCTGTTTCCACTATTTCCATGATTTTATCGCAATTTTCGACGACAGGCCTCCCGACGCGTGGTACATTTTTGACATCGAAATTACCGGAACGGAACCTAGCAAATGACTTTTGTGCTACACGTTCGTTTACAGTATCGGGCCCATAAACTAAATTAATGTTTTCAGCCGCTTTGGCTGCTTTTTCGCTTTGATCGAAGAAAAATTGTAAAATATAGCGAATTTTCTCTTTGTTGGTGTCCATCTTTGACGAGCGCTCACAACGAACTGAGTAAATCAATCGAAAAACTGTCAAAAACAAACTTTTAGCGCAAATAAACACGTCTTCAGCGCCGTATAGTATGACATGATGCGACACGTAACACTAGTACTGTGGACAATAACGCCATCTCATAGATAAAAACCGAACGAACTTTTTACTTGACCCAATATTAAAGGTTTTAATAATAATCTGCTGAAATTTTTAAGACGTGGAATTTCAATTGATATGCAGTGTCACACAAAAACCTCTATATAACCGTAGGAACTACGTAACTCTGCTATTTATGGTAAATTGTAAATGGATTGAAGGAAACTTACTTTTGTAATCGTTATCGATAATTTTTCAATGCGTCTTATCGATTTTTTTTTTATGTCCTGTACT